TGAAGTTTTGGGTGTAAAGGGAGGACTTCTAATGTCAATGGGGGCTCCTGATGTGAAAGAGTGGCTCCTAAAGTGAAGGGGGGCACTGATGTGAAGGGAGCTTCCAGTCAGAATGCGGTGCTCCTAATGTGAAGCAGGGCCTCTGATGAGAATGTGGGTGGGAATATGATGTAAAGAGGGAAACATTTTATCATTTTTTGTCCTTTTGCATGGAAGTCTCCTTAAAACCCATACCCCAGCACCTATCTAGGATAAGGGTCGAGTATGGATTGCGGGTGGGACCAAATATCATATTTATATTTTTGCATATTTTTAAAGCATGTTGAGTCGAGAAACACTGGACCATAGGGCTGAACATGATGCTTTTTAGGCTAGACTTACAGAACATACCTCTAAATTGTGACATCCTGCTGTCCAAGAATCAAGCCTTCTACTGGGGGTCCTCCTTTCAGTAACTGCTGCTGTGATTGAATAATGGTAAAACCCTCAGAGTCACCCTCATTTTAGGTATTGGATCTGGATATGGTGGAAGCAGTGGTGTCACAAGAAGGGTGCAGGGGATGCATCCTGCCCCCGGGTGACACCATTGCAGGGTTTACACCAAAATGACTGCCAGTCATTTTGGTGTTACCCCCTCTAAAAAGTTGGCCGATAGTGAGCCCGACAGTGTCAGGAGAGAGAACGTCCCCTCCTCTCTCTGCCGGCGTCCATCAGCAAATGGCCGCCGGGAGGCGTCAATCAGATGGCCGGGCATGCGCGATGACAACATGGCGGAGTGTCACCTGGCCTGTAGACTGGGTGATCTCGGGACAATCCTGGGTGGAAGCAGTAGAGATGCCAGGTATTTTGTATTTTGTGTCCTTCAGATTGCTCTACTATTCTTGTCTTTGGCTATTGTCAGCAAAAACCAGAGTACTAATGGCTTCATTCTAAGAGAGCTCATCGAGGACGGAGAACGAGACCACTTTCCAGGAAGGAAAAGACATTTCCAGAAATATGATGTATTATTATGATATGAAGGACATCAGAGATGATCTCATGCATTATATTGGAAAGCTGAGATGATATCTGTATTTTCTGCTTCCAGATCTTATGAAATAATTGTCTCTGGTGGTAATTCTACGATGGACTGTCTGCAATACAAAAACACCCCGTACAACTCCAGCTCGGCTCTGAGTCCATATAAAGCAGCAGTTCTTCCTCCAGAGACCCTCACCAGACCTAGGACCTTCAACCTGGGGGATGAAAAACATTATAATGGCTTCCACAATGCTCCTCTTATCGTCAACCACACCTACACCGTCTACATTCGGGTCACCAGCCACTGGAAACACGTATGTCTACACTGATATCTTCCTGGTGTGTGAGTGCCATGAATGAGGTCTGACAGGGTCTGTTTTCTGGAGTTTGTGATGGAAATGAGAATTACAGACTCTGGGCACAAATATGAATCCAGGGCAGTTAGATAATATATATGACCTGTTGTGGATTCTAAATTCACAGCTGAAATACGTAAATGTAAAGTGTCTTACAGTATGTCGTTTCTAGATGATCTGGTGGTCACCCTACAAGGAGACTTGTAGAGTTTGCGAGAACGGTTGCTCAATTTCATCAAAATTCAAAAGATTTTCTTGTGTTGTACGACACTTCTGTATGGTGAGTGAACCTGGCTTTCACATGTGTCGTGTCACCTCTTCCTGACCTTTGTGGCAGTTAAGAAGCTTAGAACACCTCCTGAGTCGGGGTCCATGTTTCATATTGGGGTTAGAGATTATATTATGTATGGGTGGAAACCAACCTTCTATATAACACAGAGAGGACAAGCCAGAAACTGTCCCTAAATCTCCTAACTCTGTCCCCACCACATGTCACAGCCTATTCTGACCCTTGTGGGCAATTACTGTATTCAACTGCCCAGTATGAAGGGGACAAGGAAGGAAAATAATGTGTTTTATGGTGATTATTGTATTCTCCCCTTCAAAACAGAAGAGGAAGATGGAAGGAGCATCATTGGCTGCTGCTGAATTTAAACACTTCAGTAATTTTTTGACAGCGGTCTTACCTTAATTCTAATGAGTGAAATAACCTAAAACTATTCTGCTTCCTCTTCTCCGGCAGGTGGAGAAGTCATCCTGTGCTTTTGCTGGCTTCACTGGAGGTACGTTGGTTCAGAGATTGTATATAGATTATGGCAGCACCCCTCTATGTATACCATGGATCCCTTATTCTGCTGGAGTTATGTGTCAGAGGTGTGAGCCCCTCCACAGTACAGACTAAGGACATAAATAGATGTGAGCTCCAGGACCATCCTGGCTTCTCTAACTAGTGGGCCACTTACCTGGAACAAGCATACAGACAATGAAGTCTGCAAGCATCACCCTCCTGCATGTATGTCTCAGGTTAGTGAGTCATCAGATCATCACACCAGGATCAGGATGACAGCCCCAAAACCTGCAGCTTTAAAAAGAAGTCCTCAGTGGAACCTACACTGACATAGACCTCAAGCTGGCTGCAGCCTCCTGTGTGATACAGCACACCGACACACACAGCAGTCACACAAACAGTCTCTTCACATTCATGAGTTCTCTAGAACAATAAGAAACACGATTATATTAATTTGTATTCAATCCCCAGGAGGACAGAACGTAGAGAAGGGTGACACTAACATTAGTCAGGAAGTCAGACATATACAAGCAAATAATATTAAAATAAAAAGGATAAACATCAAAAATGACTTCTGCTTCTGGGATTGGATAGAAAACATGGCCCATACCCCCCATAACCCCCTCCACATAGATGGGGCCCCTCAGGTATGAACCAAAATGTGGTTTTGGATCCCCATTGTCATACCTTAGAGATCATGTAAGTTGCCATCCTCTCAGATTAATTCCAATTGGATAGAAGAGGAAGCTACTGCATAGCAGGGAGGATTTTGGTAATAATTGTCAGAACCTCATAACTGGGTTATCTGACTCTGAAAGTGATAGTAATGGTCCCGCTTGTTGTTCTGAGTCCAAACTCCAGTACTCCACACCCACCAGAACCATAATACAAAAGAAAGACCCAAATATGAATAACTCCCCCACATTGTATCATAAAACTGGCAGGTTTGGTGTCCTAGAACTTCCTTTTGCTCCACCAGGCTTTTCCAGAAGGTTCTATGACTGCGCACGGCTCGGGATGGGAGTTCTGAGTTGTCACCTTCTTCAGATTTTCTGAAGGTTGAAATACAAACATCTTGTCTGAGATTTCTCACCTCCACTCATTGATAACTGGCATGTAGCCCCAAAGTCTGGAATGTCCCATGAGAACACATAGGATCCAACGACCTCTCACTGTGCAGACAGAGCTGTCTTCTGGCTGTATCGTGACTGGGGAGGTGAGCAAGCTGTATGGCTTATTGACAGCAGGGACAATCAGGTCACCAGGCAGGCTGTTCTGTCTGGCAGGGCTTTGTAAATCTCAGGACTAGCTGGACAGAATGACACAGCTCCCATATATGAATTTCAGTATAGTTGTGTGTTTAGCTGTATGTCTGGAGCTCAGCTTTAACATGAATGTCAAGAAAAAAAATCAAGTTTATCCCTACAAGTACAAAAAATACCCAATGACCTGCCAGAAATCAACTCGGCTCTTAAATTTCATTTGCGGGCTGACAACACACCTAATCAGTGGTATCAGCCCTGCCCAGTTCTGTTTTGCTAAACTACTCAATCACACCCACTGTCTTTTAACAATGTCATGGTAATAATTCACTTGTACTCCTAAGATAAGAACTGGGAGGGCTAAATAGACTCATTGGGATATGTTTTGCACAAGACAGACCTGAGTTTCTGGCAGGATCAAGAGATATTTCTTGATAATAGAGTACAGGACCCAGGCAACCCATAGACAGCTGGGGTAATATGCAGGTATCAGGTGATTGGACACTGGCCAGAGCTGTGATCTCATATAACCCCTCCCACTCCAGGAAATCCTTAGTTTTTTGTTAGTGTCCTTAGGTGATGGATGTCTCCTCCCTGCTGAGGGAGATGTGTGTTGTTTAGTCTTAGCCTTATGATGTCTTTGATAGTGCAGCATCTGGATTGCCCCATGCCAAGAGTTTTGGGGGCTATACCTGACCCTAATAAATGGAAGTGGGGCCGGCTTGTAATGTAGCTTCGGGCCCTGGATCCTCTATTAGGCACCCATCTTGGTACGTGGTGGAGCTCATTGGGTTAACCGCAGGTTGCTATACAGGTCTAGGGCAGTGATGAATCTGCTGTGGTGTGATCCTGTCCCTTAAGACCCCTTACTGGAAGAGGGGGAGTGCTCTTCTGTAGTGAGCAAAGCAGAGGTGCTCCTCCTCCTCCTGTCTTCATGGATGGTCGTTCATCGTCTGGTGGGTGAGTCCAATGTTTTCATCATCACCATCACCTCCACTAGGAGAGTTTCAGAACTTGCTGTTTCGTGTAAAACTCTGTTCCTTGTTCTTCACAAAGGATATGATCGTTCTCAGACCAAACAATTCCTTTCCACCTATGGTGGTGTCCTCCTTCCATCTGAATGAGAATATTGTTTTGCCTTTTACTATTCTGAAACATTTCAAGGAGGTGGCTCTCCACTGTTTGGATGTGGTTACAGCTTCCTTCCAACATTCGGGTTCTCGTTGTACTTCCTAAAGGACCTTGCATGGGGCTCCCTGCATCTCGTTCCACCTTTTCTTGGTGGGTTAGACAGGTCATCTTACATGCTTACTCTGTCATGGGAAAGACTCCGCCTTTTCCCTGTAATGGTTCACTTTCCTAGATGTGTTAGTACTTCTTGGGCTTTAAGGCAGCAGGCATCTGCGGTACAGATTTGTAGGGCCACCACACGGACTTCTGTTCAAACGTTCTACCAGGAGGATATTTGTGCCTCTGCTGACTTTGGTTTTGCACAGAAGATGCTACAGGGCAGAGATATCTGTTAGAGGTTTCCCTTGCTTTTGCTGTTATGGGCCTGTTGGCAGTTGGTTTTCTATGTTGCCCATCCCTCACCCTCTCAGAGTTGCCGGTGTCCTGTACATGTATGATGAAAACCATAGGATATTGGACTTAACAGTAAAATCCATTTATTGGAGTCCAGTAGAGGACACCAAACCCTACCCTCTATACGGGACACGGCACCCTCCCCTCTATACGGGACACGGCACCCTCCCCTCTATACGGGACACGACGCCCTCCCCTCTATACAGGACACGGCGCCCTCCCCTCTATGCGGGACATGACGCCCTCCCCTCTATACGGGACACATCGCCCTCCCCTCTATATGGGACACGGCGCCCTCCCCTCTATACGGGACACGCACCCTCCCCTCTATACGGGACACGGCGCCCTCCCCTCTATACGGGACACGGCCCCCTCCCCTCTATACGGGACACGCCACCCTCCCCTCTATACAGGACACGGCGCCCTCCCCTCTATGCGGGACATGACGCCCTCCCCTCTATACGGGACACATCGCCCTCCCCTCTATATGGGACACGGCGCCCTCCCCTCTATACGGGACACGGCCCCCTCCCCTCTATACGGGACACGCCACCCTCCCCTCTATACAGGACACGGCGCCCTCCCCTCTATGCGGGACATGACGCCCTCCCCTCTATACGGGACACATCGCCCTCCCCTCTATATGGGACACGGCGCCCTCCCCTCTATACGGGACACGGCCCCCTCCCCTCTATACGGGACACGCCACCCTCCCCTCTATACAGGACACGGCGCCCTCCCCTCTATGCGGGACATGACGCCCTCCCCTCTATACGGGACACATCGCCCTCCCCTCTATATGGGACACGGCGCCCTCCCCTCTATACGGGACACGGCCCCCTCCCCTCTATACGGGACACGCCACCCTCCCCTCTATACAGGACACGGCGCCCTCCCCTCTATGCGGGACATGACGCCCTCCCCTCTATACGGGACACATCGCCCTCCCCTCTATACGGGACACGGCACCCTCCCCTCTATACAGGACACGGCACCCTCCCCTCTATACGGGACACGCCACCCTCCCCTCTATACAGGACACGGCGCCCCCTCTTCTTTATATCATCTATTGCTGAAGATTTTGCATAGTGGGGGTTATATGAGGTCACAGCTCTGGTCAGTGTCCAATCACCTGATGATACCTGCGTATTGCCCGTCGTCTATGAGTTGTCTGTGTCCTGTATTGAACTCTAAGAAACAGATAAAACAAAACTCCTCCAATTGGATCATTAACAGAGAGAAATGTAGCCAATCAGAGAAGATCCTTGTTAGGATGTCCACACTTCCCGGTCACAATGTATCTGATGGATGATTAAATGTTCCGTCTATTCCACAGGAAGGACAACAGACGGGACAGTCGGCTCCTTCATAATGTGAGTATGAGAATCTCCCCCCGGGGGGAATTGCTGGTTCTGGAAGGTTCCGCACATTGGGAAGATGGAATGAATGGAAAGACATTTTCATAAATCTTACACATCTGATTATAAATATAGATCTGAGTTTTGTATGGAGTGTAGAAGGGTTTGGGCCCCTGTTTGTGTTTTTTTAACCCGTCTCTATCTTATCGAGGAAATTTCCCTTCACTTCCTGTTCCAGAGACACAGCAGCCAGTCAGAGGAAATCTCCCAAAGTCAGGGAATTCCCCTCTTAGTGTTTCCCCATTGGAAGATTCCCGCTCACTTCCTGTTCCTGTGACAACCAAGAAATGTTGGGTCTCCCGCAGACAATGGTCCTCAGGACTAATAGGGAGGGTGACTACACCCAACGGGGACGTCCCAGACAGGGATCTGACCTCTCACCCCGCCATCTGACACTAAAGAGTTCTCTCCGTCTGTTGTATGTATTGAAGTGTGTTGTGTTTCTTCCTGGTGTCCAGCGTCTTGTCTCCGCCATCGCTGGGGATCATTATCACAATGCTGAGTGTGAAATGTCTGGCTCTGGTGGGTCTCCGTGTCATCCCGCTGACTCCCTGGATGGGGATGAGAGATCCTGCGGTGAGTATCTGACTTTATACAAAGTATCCAACACACCCGAAATCTTCTCATTGTGTCATGTTTACTCTACACCCCTGACCACTCCCCCATGTATAGTCATTGCCCCACCATGTACAATCATTGGCCCTCCATGTACAGTAATTGGCCCCTCATGTAGAGTCCTCGGTCCCTCTATGTACGGTCATTGACCCCTATGTACAATCATTGGCTTCCCCATGTACAGTCATTGACCCCCATTATCAATCTGCCATAGCACTTATAGTACATGTAACCATCTCTATATCATTGTCAGGATCCGTCTTCTATCACATAGTCCGGATCTCTATCACAATACAAATTGGTGACATCACAAAAGGTTTTTGCTCCTGGTGAAGCGGATGTTTCTGTGAAACGCGTAGAGTGTTTCCTTCTGAATGGCCCCCATTGTGAGGTCACCAATTTGTATTGCGATAGAGATCCGGACTCTGTGATAGAAGACGGATCCTGACAATGATATAGAGATGGGGGGAGGAGGAACAATAATGAATCAGACAATAGAAGTCAATAGGGAGACTTTGTATCCTCTGATACATTGTATACATTGTTTATTCCTGACAATAGAATGTATTTCTCCGTATACAGAGGTTTGGGGGGAATCTTCTCTAATCATGTAACGTTGGGTGTGGTGCCCCGTATACCCTCCCCCCACATCCAGTCTGACATCCAATGTCATTAGAAATGAGGAAAGTCTCCGTGGTGATAATTTGTGTCCTCGTCACCCCGACTTCATCTTCTCTGAATGTCACACAAATCATTTCCCCGCCGCGTGTCACAATGTAACCATGAAAGAAGAAAGAAGACGAAACGTTCACTTTGATCTCCACCATTCCGCCACGTGACATGAAAGTCGCAGTCATGTGACCTCCTTGTAATCAGCGCTCTTTGTTGGTGATATTTTGGGGTGTATATATGAGGGGTGCAAATCATGTAAACATTGTGCTGGGAGAAATGACAGGAAATGTTTTGTATCCAAGAAAAGCAAATACATAAAAATGTATCAAAATCATTTCCTGAATAAATCCGAAAATAAAGATTTCTAATTGTTGACAGTGCCGCAGTCCTGGCTTCAACCACACCTAGGAAGGGGCTGCATGGAGTGTGTGTGTTACACTGGAGGTCATACTGATCAGACTCGGGTCGTATTATGGTCGCCTTTAGGAATTCATAAGTGATAGAAATAATCTTATTCCTGGTTTGTATATAGTTAATATTTTGAGCTTTTTAGAAGGTTCTGAATAATTCTGGCCTTGATCCGCTTTCACTTGCTCACAGCGGCATTCTTGTATCATTAGAACTGTGTCTTCTGATCTCATTAGTAGTAGCCGCCCGTGTGACCGTTCTATGACCCATGGCGCCATTTATTACTTTATATACACGCGCATGATTTCTATTGGTTTATGCTCCACCATCCATTCTAAGACTTGTTTTATAATAAACCTGTGAATGTCGAGTGAATACACAACTTGGTGGGACTCTTTATTCCCAAGCACTTGTCTGAAGTTGGCAGCATGCTCCAATCCCGGGGAACTCTAAAATTGTAACCCTAACAATAAGGACATAGACAGAGAACATGCAGAGCTGCTTTATAACTGCCCCACCCCCACCCCCCCACTGTCTCTGTATTCCCCGATCTCTGAGCTCCCCCTCACCGTATTGTCCTCATTGCTCTATAAATCTGCATTCTTCCGGCATCCCCTCCCCCGAGGTGTCCTGTGTACTCTGCAGGGTCTTTGGTCTGATGGTTCCGGTATTTCAGGTTGGGTGAATCCTCCCCGGGGTACAGGAAACCGACAGACCACTATTCACGTGTTGTCCACATTCTGGCCGATGACACAGTTTATTATAATGACATGAAATGAAGTGTCAGCTCTTGTGCCTAATACAATCTCAGGTCTGATCTCAGCACACAGAGCTTGCAGGGATACGATCGGCTTCTGAATTCACAACAGCAAAGAAAACGTTCAGCTCTAACCTCTTGTGGAGCGACATGTTGCACCCCCTTCCTGTCCAGGTTTCAGTGCTGTGATACTTTGACTGACAATAACTCGGTCATGTGACTCTGATCCCCAATGAAGATGACATCATGACACAGACGCGGCTTTCTTCTGCTCCCATTTCATCACTGCCGGGTTTTGTTTTATATAAAGGGGAAAAAGACCCAAAATTGGGGCAGAAAACTGATTTTTATGCTTTCTGTTATGAAAACAAATAAATATTTCTTCTTTATAGTTACATAGTATTTGAGGTTGAATAAAGATATAAGTCCATCAAGTCCAACCTAATGCGTGTATGCATTTCTTTATAAATTTGGTCATAATGTATTCTGCGATTATTAGTCATGAACTCTGCTCTGAGGTGAAAGGTCAGCCCACATGACCTCTGCGGGTTCCCAGTAGCCTCTAAGGGGTAAGGAGGTCCTACAACGTGGGGATTGGTGGGATCCATATTCTGGGGGCCTATAGCAGCCGACCACAAATCCCGAAATCTCATCCCACCAATGAAGACATTTTATTCTCCGGAATTTACACCAAAATGTATTCTGCTCCCCAAATAAGTCTGTGTGACAGTTCTCCAGTCTACAGACTACGGGATATATACACTATATTACCAAAAGTATTGGGCCCCTCCCCCTCCAAATCATTGGATTCAGGTGTTACGTGAAATTTCCTGGCTACTAAATATTCCGCGGTCACCTGTTACTGGGATTATAACAAAGTGGAAGCAACTGGGAACAACAGCAACTCAGCCAGGAAGTGGTAGGCCGTGTCACATGACAGAGCGGGGTCAGCGCATGCTGAAGCGTGCAGTGCGCAGAAGTCGCCAACTGTCTGCAGAGCCAACAGCTACAGACCTCCAAACTAGTTCAAGTTCATTTGCGTGTAAAGGCGTCCCAATACTTTTGGCAATATAGTGTATCTGACATGGATCGGTCCTGATGTTCTGACTTCCTGTCACATTTCCTGAGGCTCTAAAATGCCAGGACAGTACAAACACCCCCAAAGTGACCCCTTTTTGGAAAGTAGACACCCCAAGTTATGTACAAAAGGGACATGGTGAGTCTATTTTGGAAATAAAATAAATACAAGTTGATATTTTTTCACAAAGTTGTAATGCCAAAAAAGATATTTCTTGCACACAGCATCAGTATACTTAGAATTACACCCCAAAAAACACATTCATGGAGTCTGGTGAACTTCTGAGCAACTTCAATCACTTCCTTATCAAAGAGCCACGTGCTCTTGACATATTGGCTCACATATGCGGCCTGGTAGCACTCCCGAGGGGAGGGGTGCTGGGAGCGGATTTCACTGGCCTCCCAACCCCCTTGGCGTTCTCTGCACTAAAATAGCTTACACTCTAATGTCCCACCACAGTCACACACTATTATTATACATTTATATAGCTTTGACATATACTGCAGTGCTGTACAGAGAACACTGAGCCAGTCACATCAGTTTCTGTACAGAGGAGCTTACACTCTAATACAGAATACTATCAGGTATAGAGGACTAAAAAAGCCCAGCAATAAATTATGCAGCAATGCAGAGGGAGCGGCAATTTTCCCTGGGGGGCAATTGACCCATTCTCCCCTGTGCCGAGGGCAGCTGTACCATCACCTGCTCTCCCCACTCTGGTTGTTACACCACTGCTCAGAGCCAGGGCCAGTGCAAGGATTTTTTCTGCCCCCGGTGTCCCTAGCTGGCTGCCTATGCCGCCTGATAGCACTCCCAAGGGGGGGAGGGGTGTTGGGACCAGATCTCACTAGCCCCTCAACCCCCCTGGCATTATCTGCACTAAAATAGCTTACACTCTAATGTCCCCCCACAGTCACACACTATGATTATACATTTATATAGCTTTGACATATACTGCAGTGCTATACAGAGAACACTGAGCCAGTCACATCAGTCTCTCTACAGAGGAGCTTACACTCTAATGCCCCCTCCCCCACAGTCACATCAGTCTCTGTACAGAGGAGCTTACACTCTAATGTCCCCCCACAGTCACATCAGTCTCTGTACAGAGGAGCTTACACTCTAATACAGAATACTATCA